TACTTTCTTTTTAAAAAAAAAAAAAAAAAAAAAAAAAAACTCCTTATGATTTGTTCCCTTTCAGCAGAAAGGGTGCCAACTACCGTAGGAAATAAAAGCAAGACTAATCAATATTTCACTTGATTAACTGATCTTAGTCCCATCTTTGGTTTTTTATCACAAAAAAAGGAAGTTGGCTGATACACAATAACCAAAATCAGATTTTTTTTTTTTTAATTTAATGGGGTTAATACACATAAACCAAAATCAGATTTTTTTTTTTCCTTTTAAAGCGGGATATAGTTATGGAAAAACAATGAAGAGACAAGGGACATGGAGGGAACCTGTTCGTCCTCGTATAGCTGTAAATGGGTATGTAGTTCCCTGATGATACAATTTTCTTGGTTACACACACTCACAGACACAGAGGCTTGCAATTACTATAAGCAGATAACGTTTGAGGTTGCAAACCTCTCACGAATCCTTCTATTCTTTTCATGCTTGTTATGTAAAATCACAAGAGCCAATTTGCCCTAAAAAAGAGCCAATCAAATTTGAAGGGGCTGGATTCTTTTAGAAGAAAAATTATCATTAGATATCTCCCCCAAAAAAATAATTAAAAATAATTATCTTTTTTGTATATTCTTTCTATTTTTCATGGGTATGTTCTCTTTATATTTATATTGTTTTTATTGAGGAATAGTACGAATGGCATGTTGCTTTAAGAATATATAACAATTTCTGACTTGGAATATCGTACTTCGAATATACTTTTTAACTTCCAATACAGCATAATAATATATATAATAATATATATATATATGATTAAGTAATCATAATATAAAACATGACAAGAATTGTATCTCATAACCCTTCAAATTCTATTAATAATTTAATTAGTAGGTAATTTGTTAGTATTTTTATAAGAATTCTTGGAATCATAAGGCATCGAGGCCCTATGATTTTTGTGGTCAAATTAGTACTCCTTCCTTCCTTATATGCAAGTCATATTCTAGAATATTTAAGAGGTAAATCACTTTACAGAATTTAAGCAGCCTTAAATATTTTTTCCATACTCACTCCTCATTAAATAATCAAAAAAATTATGATGGAGGGAATGAATAAGAGATATAATATATTTAATAATTAAGATGGAGTATAATAACAATTTAATGATAGTAATTTCATAAAGTTATGGTGATTTTTAAAAAGTTTGAAAACCCTAAGTAATTTTAACAAAACTTTTGACTGTGTCATATAGTGAAAGTGACATATATAGCTAGTGATGGAGGATGTGTATCAATATCATAGCATCATTCAATAGAAATTGAAAAATGTCATTCATTCTTTGCTCATATATGCATATTAATTAAATATAAAAAAGGTAATATGAAAGTAAAAGATGAAAATAAAAGTAAGTCTTACACATATTCCTAATTTTTAAAACAAATAATTATATGATGGTAAAAAGATTGAATTGAAAAGCAACAGTGGACAAGGGGGAAGCCAATAGGCAATGGGGAATTAATACAGGGAGATGTGAACTTAACCACACAAAAATAGACAGCAATGACATGGGAAGGCCCCTTCATAAGTATTGGCATTAAATAGGCTTTCATATCAAAGCAGGTACCTCCAAAACGGACACTTATATGACATGCATTTATGATGCTCCTATTATGCACCACATTCTCTGTGCAAAAATCACGCCCACCCCTACTTATCCTTAATTTAATAGCCACAAACCATCTGCCCCTTCAATTATTTGGCCTTTCATTAAGGATAAATGAGACTTTTATTTTATGTATATATCAATGATGTTTAGACTTATTTGAGTAAAATTTTGATAATATATCCTAACTCAAGTGAGGTTGGGATAAGTGACAAAAAGCTTTGTTACCTTAGAAATAGGAGGACAGGGAAGGATTCTGTTTGGTTAAACAGAACGAAAATAGATACTATCTCCAATCCTAATTATCAGAGTTAGACAAGAGATTTATTTTCATCTTGAATATGAAATCTCAATTCACTTTACTTTTTAAGTTTGCAATATTTTATTCAAAGTATTCCTATTGACGGCACATATTAAAAATACATGATTAAATATAATAATTGAGAAAAAATATCGACACATCTATTATACATAACTAAATTAATTTTTTAATATTTATAAATTAATCATCTATTTTTTATATGCTAGCTCCTTTAGTTAGAAGAAATGGAGGAAGTGCTTCTCTCCGAAATGGGAAGATTTGAGAGAAACAGTTAAAACCCACCTCCTTCCCTCCTTCCAACCAAATCAAAGGGGACCCCCCAACCCCCACCCCTTTAAAAAAAAAAAAAAAAGGCCCCCTCCATAAACTTTCTTCCTCTCCTCTACTGAGATTCCTCTCATCTCATTCGTTGAACTAAGCAAATAATTAAAAGTTCAATTCCCAACTTTTTTTTTGTGTGGATCAAACATAGTTTAGAGGAACATACCTTTTTCTATCATAATCTTAAGGAAGACTAATATTTATTATGAGTATGGTAAAAGACAAATAACTAAACAACCATTTAGTGATGGTTAAATCAAGTGATAAAAAGAATTTCGGTTTTAAATTTGAAGCATGAAAAGGGAGAAGTCACACTAGGACAGTCGTTTTTTTTATAATTATTATTAACATTCTTTAACTGAAGCTGCTTTAATTCAAAATAGTTAAAAAAAAAGTGTTTTGATTTGCAAAAATAAAATTAAAAAGAAAAAACACCATTGAAGCATGAAATTAGGAGGAAGGTGGGTCCATAGGAGGAAAGCAGAGTTATGTAAAATAGATAGAGAGAGCAGTGGTTAAGAATCCAAGGGAGGCCACCAGGCGAAGGCTTCAGCCTTCAGCATCAGTCTTGTTTCTTCTGTTCACTTACTACAAAACGACTCAGACCAGTCTGTGTATTTGGCCACTTGGAATGCTGTCGGTGGGGCCTGAGCCAAGTCTCCATCTGCTTATAATTAACTACTCAAATTTCATTCATCTATACAAATTCACATCAGATGTCAATCATGTACACCCATAAAACTGTGCAAGGAATTGCCGTAATTGGCCACTCAAAAGTATTTAGACACAATTACTTGTTGCTGCCTCCTAAATTACTTTGCAGGTTCATTTCTACTAGTTAAGATGCACTCTTGTTTCAAAACTTTTTGCATGAGTGTTACGATGAATATTTGGAAATTTTTATCAGATCCACGCTCTGGAAGTATTAAAAAAATTAACAACATTACCCCTGATTATTAAAAATATTAATGGTTAACATTAATTTTTAAACAGTGAGAGTAATTTTTCTCCTTTTCTTTAACACTTTTTGAGGTGATATTTTTATTTTATTTTAGGCTATATTAATTCAGCAAAAAACCTCAGATACACATAATTTTTATTTGAAAACTTCTGAAATAAAATTAGATCTTAATCTTTTTTCTCCGTGCTAGTGTCAAGAAAATAGGAATAAGTACGGTTGTTCAACTTTTGCCTTTTGATGCATGCCGATAGTACGCCAAGCATACCAAGCGTCCCACATGACAGAACTTTTGTCAGTTGAGAGCACATCATGAACTAAGTGGGACGGAATAATGTAACTCATTTTAGACTTTATAATTCACCAACATGAACTAGTGATATGGACTACAAGTGGGATGAGCATAGGCAAACTTCTGCTACAAGCAAAAGAACAATTCGAACGTCAAAGAGCCTGTGTCAGAAAAATAAAGAATTAATTGCTGAGAAAGGCCAGCATTGTGCTTGACTTTTCGACATACAGATGTAGTAGCGTTGTACAACAATATAATTAACCTAGACAAGGATAAAAAGAAAAGAAGACTAATATCATAAAACTCAAGAGCAGAGCTTTGAGTCTGGTCCAATAAATTAACCACAACAACAACATTGGAGAAGCGAATATTTAAGCATAATTCCTGTGCGTACCTTCCCTATGCCAGTCGTGATGATAAGTTAAGCAAAACTGGCTCATGAAAAAAACATAAATGAAACCTGTCACATGATCATTCATGCAAAGAAACTGGCAGCCAACGGGCAAGCCTGTGCCGTTCAATTTGTCTTGTGTGTTCATTGTGTGGACGTGGAATTGTCACCAATAACCCAGTATTGCTTCACAGCAATCAGAATCTTCTCAGGGACTAGGGGACCGTCCTCATGATCAACCAGTTTAGTATCCCATCGCATGCCACCAACTATTTTCTTTACCTTGATTAGGACATCAACTTCATCGCGAAATATGACAGCACCTTCAGGCCGCAAAATCCGGTCCATCTCCAAAAGAATATCATCTGCATTACATCTGCATTACAATCATGACACGCAAACTTCAGGCACATGAAAGGGGATAACAGAATTTCTGAAGAAACAACAGGAGAGAAATAAAAACATGTGGTTCTGCAAATGACTAGAAATGTAAATCTATGTGACGAAATTATAAAGACAAACTAAACAGGCACAAGAGTGACTGCTGACAACTGAAAAGCTTAGATCAACAAAAATGCTAATAGAATTCTCACTAAAAGATGAACCCCCGAGCAGATGGACTCTCCATAAAGTTGCATCTCAACCGACAAGTTACGCAGACTCATTAATCTATTTCAAGTGTTGATACATTAACAATGATTAAGATCACCAAACAGACATGATCAAGCACTGCTTATAGTTTAGCCATAGCTAAGAAACAATGGCACTAGCAACAGAATATGAAAGCACCAGAAGTTTAATTAAATTTAACAAAGGAACTTACTTGTCCTTGTATAGACTAAAGAGACCATGGGCATGAATGAGATCATACGTCCTTGGATATGTGGAGAAGGCTTCACACCTGGATCAACACAAAGTTCAACAAGCTTACTTCTAACAGCTGACAAAATATAGTAAGCAATAATAAACGACAGCACATAACACCATTGGCACTCTTCTTCATAACATAATCTTGCTGCCGAAGGATTACGTAGTAATTTGAATAACAATATAAAATTTGATAGGTTATAAATGAGTATTTAGATATCTAAGATTCATAGATGCCATAATTACCGCCAGGGGGGGGTTAGGAAAACATACCAGTCATGATAGATGCCAATCAGTCCTCGCTCATATATGACACCCAGGGTGTTTTTCTCAGCTATAGTTGGCACAACATTCATAACCCATAACTTCGAAGATTGAATTGCAGCAGCAAAGCTACCTAAACCAGCATTCATATCCATAATATTGCGATACCTTCCAGAATCCAAGAGTCTGTTGATTTTCTTATAAGCATTTACATGCTTTTTCCACTTTTTGTTATCATCCTGATATGTATCAGCAGAAAATCCAGGAACAGAGCCACTAGCAATTCTAGGTGGGATGGCGTACAGTCTTTCGGGAAATGGTTTAAGATCTCTCCCCGAACCATTACTAGTGGGAGTAATGCAGACCTCCATTTTCTTATACCTATAGCCACAAAACAGAGTCATTTCAGGTCAGACTTAACTAATCTTTATGAAGAAGATAAATTTACCTAGATTTTCAGCAATTATATATTTAAAAAAGCACACTGGAATGAATTCTTTTGTTAATAGTATTCTCAAACAAGTCTTGAATGCATTCATATTATTTTTTAAGGCAATAACTACTTGGAACATTGTCATCGTAGAAAGCAGTGCCATATCCTTTAAAAGCACTGTCATAATAATATTTGCAAAAATCAAGTCATCATTAACTACATATTGTATTTACTTCAAAGGATGAAAAGGTGATACCAGGGGTTAAAATCGATAGAGAAAGAAATTGTTCTTTATTTCAGTACACAGGGTAACAGTCATTTCAGTAGGGACAATATAATTCAATGGATTTGCATAAAAATACAGGGCTAAGTCCTTGATAAATGGTTCATCACCTAAGTAGCTTCCTCCCATGGAAAGAAAGAAAAAACATATTAAATATGAACAATGTCCTATATCAAAAATTATGTAAAACAATAGAACCAGAGCCATACCAGACATCATCAGCATCTGTTGTTTCACAGAATTTAACATTAGAATCTTCCTGTCTTCTACGACAAGTTTCAGAGTCTACAGTCTTCTGCCAAATAGCAATTTCAGCCTTCTCAGACTTCTTCTCCCAGCAAAGGAGCTTAGCAATCTCCTCAATCTTTCTCTGCTCTCCTTCAAGTTCCTCCTTAGGCCGCTGCCAGGCATTGTAATTGACTTTCCAGTTAATTGGGGGACCCGAAAGAATCCAATAACCGCCAGGTCTGAGAACACGATCAACTTCCATCATATACATTCCATCTGCAAATTAACAATCAAAGTGCAATACCAAACCACTGCAGTTATAATCACAATTAATACTCAATAAAATACATGTTAAACAGAGGCAGGGAGGGACGGGGGGTCATATTGAAGTCACTTCTTATTGAAGCATGTACTTAACAGTAAGGCGGGGAGTATTTAATGTAAAATCCTCACCATTTGACCCCCAAGGTATCAAGCAACGAGAACAATGAGCCATATCAAAGGCTGCAGATGGATAAGGCATCTTTATGGTACCCAGAACACCTATGACAGCAGGCACACCCCTTTCAAGAGCGAATTGTACTTGTGCTTCATGATTGTCCCTTGGTGCAAATGACATGGCGATAACATTTCTGCTCCAAAGATATGCACCCCAACTGGCCACCTAAGTGAACCAACCAACATAAAGAATTAAGAATTTAAAGGTAAAACAGAATCTAACAGAAGCTGATCATGTTGATAAGCAAAATAGTATATACAACATGGCATATAAACAAAAATTTTCAGGAAACTAGGGCGAAAAACATACCCCACAACCAGTGTCTAATGCTGTCCTCACTGTGCCATCATTTATAGGAATAACAGAAGCAATCTGCTCGATATATTTATTGGCACCTTGAGGAAATTGGGTGCCACCACCAGGGAATTTGAACACATTTCCCTCATATTGAATCCAGTTCTGAATAGCTTTTTCGACTGTCAGGCTCTTGTAGGGTGCGTTTGCATAAGGAACATAATCACGACTCTTGGCCAAGGAAATGGAGTTACATATCCCTTGGGTGCAGGGATCAAACAATGTAACTTCTCTTCCTCAGGAGGGCAGTGTCTCTCCCGATAATTCATGTTCTCTCTAGGAAAGGTCATGGCACGCTTTTGATCTTGGCAAGGGGTGTAATCAGTATAATGATCTTTACATGGTTTAAAAACCTTAGGTTTGGACTCAAATTCATCAATTTTGCTAACTTCTCCACCATGATGAGAGTCAAAACTTAAATTAGGTACTATACTACAGTCTGCATTATTCTTAGTAATCGCCACAGCTATGCTATCTCCCTTTCCAAAACCGCTCCTCTGCCATGCACCCAATATATAGAAGAAACAGCAAAGACCCACCACTATAAAGATCTGCACAGAACTTCTAGTCCTGCCATCAGCGGAACTTAATTTTGCCATGAAGTACCTGAAAATAAGAACTAAATCTATAAGATCAAGAAGTCGTGCTTCCAGAAAGAAGAATTAGAAATCCCCAAATAGCAAGGTTATTTACTACTACATTTCGCTCAAGATCCAGAGTTCCGGACTGGAAATCAACCATGAGTCAGAGCAAGACACTTGCATCCAATGAAGTAGACCAGAAGTGATAAACTTCAACAAGCATTAACAAATGGATTATCCAGTCGATCACCGAATAGCTAGCAATCGTCGTTTGGTAATAATATAATTTAGTCAAGCTTCCATGAGTAAAACAAATCATGCCAATTTACTTTCATCACCAACACAGAGCAATTACTTGTCAGTAATTGGTTAAAGAGGCCAAAATAGGTGAGGCTAAATTTAGATCTGCTCAGTTATCAAAAAAATAATAATAATATTAATTAGATCTGCTCAACAGTGAGTGCTTAGACACCAGTGGCTACATTTGTCCCTCTTCGTGACCAGCATGGAAGGCTGATGCACTTCATAATTTCCCAAAACACCACAACTCAAAACACATGAAACACACAATTAACTCAGTCAAGTGAATGGATCCACCAACAATTACCCACAAAAGAACATATAAATGGCCAAAAGTTAGCTCATCAGAAGCCAATTCAGCCTCATAACGGAGCTAGAACTTCAATTTTAATGCTCTAGCAGAAAAACGAGTTACAAAATGAAATGAAATGAAAGAAAGAGATGACAACAAGAAGAAGGAAATGAACCAAAGCTGAAAGTGGAGATCTCTCACCGATCCGATGAAGGTGGGTTACCCAATAGTTGAAAGATCCCAGATTTCCAAAGGAGATAACTTTTTCCGATAAAACAAACAATGATGTTCAGTAATCAGTATGGTAATGCTACAGACGTGGGACTCGATCCAGCAGCGAAACGTGTAAATAAAAATCTCTCCCACTGACTCTCCCTTCTCCCTCTCTTTAAACCCTAAAAAGCTTCTGCAATCATATATAATAATGCACCCCAGCAATCGAATTGAGCGGAGGAGACGGAAAAGTGAAGTATCTCTGTTCTTCCAGCTGAAAAATTGACCCTTTATTTTATTTTTTTATTCTATTTTTAACAGGATGACAGAGACATCGTTTGTGACTTTGTGCTGCCAAAAGAAAATTTTGGATTTTCTTATTGTGGATATTAGTATGGATTTTGTAAATTTCTTAAGAATATTTAATATTTTTTGAAAAAATTAACAAAAAATTTATTCATAATTAATAATGTTTTGGAAAAAAACTTAGCGTTATATAAAATTAGTTAAGGAATGTCGGTTAGTTAAAACGAAGTGAACTGAAAATCTCAAGTAAAGAACAACTGGGGAGCGGTAACATGGATCCCTGGGCCCACTTTCATGCTCACGCGCTACCGTGCCTCCCATAAAGTTTTTGAATAATTTTTTAAAGATATTTTGGTTAGATCTGGGCACGTCGGTGATCAGAAAATTCGTAAATCACCCACCGTTAAATACGAAACTAATATTTTTTTCAAAATTATTAAATGGATCAATTTTAAAATAATAAAAGTAGTCAGTACATTATACATTGATACCAGTAATAAAATTCATAAAAAATTAACACCGTTTATAAATCATTAGATTTTTTTTTGGCCAATGAAAAAAGGCCAGTTTTATTTTTTTTAAAAGTCTCTGTGGTGAATTTTGAAATATCTTCTACGTAATGTATTTAGGTTTTTCATTTAGTTATGATCCTCCAAATGTCAAATGGAGAAGGATTGTTACGTATATAATAAGAAATTCATGAAAAATCCGGCCATATGGTTTGAGCTTTGAACCAGCAGCTGGCCAAAAGAATTTGAGGGAGTCAGCTGATGGTTTTCACTGAAAATTCCTTTAATGAATAATCGTTTTCGATATCCACATTATTTAAAATAAATTAAATTAATATATTATCATATTAGGATGGTTCAACTTTCTGTAGTTATCACTCTTGACAAGCATTCAAATTACTTTCCAAAATTATAATTATCAATAGCCTAGTAATATGAAAGTTCTCATAGATACAAGATGAGGGTATTATTATTAAACTCATGAATTGACTCATCCAGTTTATCATTTCATGTTTTTTAATTGATGAAATCATGTCAACAACTCATATTAACTGCAAATTGAATTAAATTCGAGAATTGACTTATCTTTTTTTTTTTTGGGCCTATTTTTAACCTACAAAATTATATCTTAATAAATACTACCCCCAGTCCTTAATAAAAGATCTTATTTGACTTTTTATTTTAATTCTAAATATAAGACCTCAATTCATTTTATCTTTCATATTTATGCATTTTTTCCAAGGTAGTCCTTCTAGTAATAGTAATTCTAGCCAATACACTTAACTAGTAAGGATATTTTAAGAAAAACAATACTCCTCCGGTCCTAATTATAAGACCCAATTGACTTATTTGAGGAAATTAAGGAAGTAAGTTAAGTTGGTTATTTATAATAAATAAGTGTTGTTATTCCTAAAATATCCTTGCTAATTAAGTATATTGGCTAAAACTATCATTATTAGAAGGATTATCTTGAAAAAAAATGCATAAATATAAGAGACAAAATGGATTGGGTCTTATAATTAGGACCAAATAAAAAGTCAAATTGGGTCTTATAATAAGGACCGGAGGAGTATTTATTTATTACAAATAACTAACTTAACTTCTTTCCTTAATCTCCTTAAATTAGTCAACTAGCTCTTATAATTAGGACCAGAAATGAGGTAGTATAATACTATTAAATAAAATCAGGATGCTACACGTACCTATTGATAAAGTTAAAGTGTCGAATGTAAATGAACTTGAACTATGGGAATTAAAATATATGGAAGAGCATGGGAGAGGAAGATGGATCGCCACTCATCCTCTTTCTATTGAAAGATTCAACGCAACTTGCCATAGAAAACATTAAATGAATTTTTTTATTAATATATTAATTAGTGTATCTCTGTTGTTGGCAACAGGGAAAAAAAAAACAAGTGTATCTCTGTTGACTAATCCGATCTGGTTGCTTCAAGTATCTGCTGAAACACGATGCCATGATACTTTACAAAATAATAATAATAATAATAAAGGATAATTTAGATTCCCATGTTCAATTTGACCATAGAATTGATAATGGAAAATGTTATACTATACTGTAATAATTGAGATTGAAATTTAACTAACTCTCCCAATTTAATAGACAGAAATGCCCAAGGAACTTAAAATTTTAGGGGAAGTGCAACCACCATAGGCAATAATGGCACGACTTTATTTATTTATTTATTTATTTATTTTACTTAAGGATCAATTGTTAATAACAAGAGATAGTGTTTTCTTTAAATGGATAAAATATTATTTTTATTTTTAGATTTAATATCCTATACTTCTTTTACTTTTTAAAATTTATTCATTCATAATTTAGTCTTTTGATTTGATTTTCAGTTTTTTTTTTGTTCAAATATGATTCTACAACTTCTTTTTTTAATCTTCATAGTTAAAATAATAAGGATCATTTAAATGTTGTTTTCCATCTAACAAGTTATTTAATTAGTTTCTAATGTTTAATTAGAGGTTAGTTAGAGATGAGATACAAATGACTTTTTTGGTTGATCGTTTTAATTTAATGACGATACAAGAAGGGGAAAAAATTAATTAGTTTTTAGAAGTTGAAAATAAAGCAGACCCTCCAAAAATAGCAGAGTCAGTGAGAATTTATCTGCTTAAAACATTGAAGGAAAGTGATATTCGGGTGACCTCGCATACACCCAATGGGGTTGGGTTCAAAGTTTTGTGAAGATAATGTATTTTGAACCTAACTTCAGCGTGGCTGGTGGCCAAATCAGCCTAGACCAACCCCGCATATTTTGAGTCAAACTTACAAGACAACTTCTCTCACATGGAAATCTCTAAATATAAGAAACAAATTATTTTTATCTAAAATTTTAAACTAATCTTTCTACCTTTATCCACGTTAAATTACTTATTATCTCTTTGTAATAAATTTTCACCCGTCATCTTTCATATATTCTCTTACAAATAAAGGTATAATTTAAAAAATACATATGTATCTTATATATTTATTACTTTTAATTAAATTTAACTAATACTCTTCCAATCCTTAATATAAAAACTAGTTAACTAATTTGAGTAAATTAAGAAAACTAATTTAGTAATTATTTATAATAAATAGATGTTTTTTTCGTAAAATGTCCTTGCTAATCAAATGTATTGGCTACATCTATCTTATTATAAGACCACCTTTAAAAAATAAATAAATATGAAAGTTAAAATAGATTGACATCTCACATTTAAAATCAAAATAAAAATCAAACAAAATCTTATATTAAAAACCGGAGGTAATATTTTGAATAGCATGATTGTTACTCATTTCTCATAATGGACAGAGAGTAGAAGAGCACTCTCTCACCTTGTCCAATTTTTTCTTTTAAAAAAAAAAAACCTTCTTAACTTGTAAGTCTTACTTAATCGTACAAAAGTCATAAGAATGCACTTCTCTAGAATTAATGTGCTCCATTTCTCTCGACATCCTCATGATCCTGTGGCTTCAACCTTAAAAGCACTAATCGAAGACCAACCAATGAGAAAACTCATCTCAAAACACTAGCGTACGAAAAACTCCATAAACTTACAGGCCCCATTTCTTACAAAAGATTCCTAAGCATGGATTCCCAACAATCCGTGCCATAAACCTCGTTTCTTAATCTTTAGCCTTTAGGTGAGTTACAATAGCTATAGGTTATCAAAGTGAGGCTAATTACTAAATTTGGGACTCCATTGTAACTCGTAAACAGAGACATTCATATGGAATTGATAATGACCAGAGTAACTTGATTGTTCATATCAGTAACTTCATTTGCAACATCCAGTAATTTTTGTGGATAAAGCACAATATGGCGTCATGTGCTGCATATGATGGACCCCATCTGGCAGTTTTTCGTGTTGTAACTTGTAGCATCAGTAATTTAAATGAAACCCACGATTCACATTATTTACTAACTAATGAGGAACTAGCAAGATAAAAACAAGATAGAACTAAGAGGAAACTGAGACAAAACTGTATCACAATGGAGTTGTCGACAAAGTTAATCGCACTAGAATGAGTCCAAACGTGCCAAAGAAACACAATTCCCACATAGGAACGACTCTAAGAAAATATCGTGATTTCTGTAATCACCCAAACCTAATAATCCTCAAAAGATCCCGGTCTTTGCCCATACTTAACCCTTCAAGGACTGCTTTTCCTTGGCCTTCTGAATCTTCAACACCTTTTTCACAATCTTTTGCTCTTCAACCAAGAAAGCTCGGATGATCCTGCGGGGCCAAAGAGCAATGTCTAGATACCAATTGACAAAATGATGAAACAACCTCTTAAAGCCCTAGAAAGTAGCAGAACAAACCTTTCTCTGACGGCACCTCCAGACAAAACCCCGCCATATGCACGGTTTACAGTCCTTCGGTTTCTAGGTAACCTCGATCTCTTGTATTCAGCAGGCCTCAAGTGGGGAATCTGCAATAGTTATCAAGCAGAAATTACAGCACTAACCTAACGAATCGAAAGAAACATTGTCCTCAAGATAGATAAATTCTATCAAATATGGCTCAAACCAAGTAGAAAGTAATAACTAGAGCATACAAATGTGCCTTGAGAATGTTTAGAATTAAACAATCACAAATAAAAATCAGATAAGAAACCATGATCAAGAATTTAGAAAGGAAATCAGGAATGCAAATGTAAAATCTGCAGATGATACTGATATTCAAATACAAACATGCGGAAAAGCCTGAGATAAACTAATCAAACAATTATCAGTCTCCCAACTAAACGTAAGACATCCAACAACGACAAGCACATAATAGACACCATGTCTCCTGTTCATGAATATGGGAAATCGACACAAATTAGCACCATTCCTGTTCCCACTGTAATAAGCGTTAACTCTCAAGAGTGGAATAGTACAGACAATGGAAAGTGGTGAAACGAACCCAGATCAAATTTCCAGTATTGTGAAGCCCAAGTAAACCTTCAGAATCAATTCACTAAAGCAGTTACCCGTTAAACATAAATCCATTTTTCACCATGTTTGATCAACATTTCACAGCATGAATTCATCTGACCCCGTTAAAACACCAATACTTGTCGATGTAAACCAACGTAAGAATACAAACTATAAAACTATGAAACCAACTGTTTTTAAGGGTAGTAGCTTCAGTAAGGGATTCACACATTGAATACGAACTGTTGAAACATGGATAGTACATTTGAAGGTAACAGGTAAGTCACGAGATTGTATTAACCCATTGCCAGGAAGTAGCAGAAGAAAACAAACACTCAGCAGCCTAAACTTAGAAAACATTGTCTCCCGACTCTAAAAACCCACCAATATCAAAACACGAAAAATAAATTAAAATTGCATCTTTTTAAGCCCAACAAATTAAAATAAGCGTCTAGGGGGGGAAAACAAACGGCATACCCCTTGAATCCTCTTGCCTGTTACAGGGCACTTAGGCCCGCTTGCCCTCTTCTTAGTACTCTGATAAACGAGCTTACCACCTACATTTCCAGCCATCAAACAGAAAAATCTTAAGAACAGGCAACCTTAAGTAGTTCAATGTCGGGAATCAAGAGTCTAGCACCTTCATATCATTGATCAATAATTTAAACCAGCTGGGACAGAGAAAGAAGAAATCTTTACCTGGGGTTTTGACAACCCTATGTTGGTTGGATTTGGTAGCATAGCTGTGACGTTTTCGATATGTGAGACGCTGCACCATCTTGAGCAACCTCCGCCTGCTTCTTGCTTAGGGTTTTTGACGAGAAGGCAGCAGCAAAGAGAGGGCGAGCATTCGTGCCGCATAGATGTATAAAAGGGTAATGTCCATTCATGCCCTAAATCTAACGGCCCGAAGTGTTTCACCAGAAATGGACGACTAGAGATTATGGAATGCAGTAGTATATAATAAATTTAAAATTTATATACCAATATTGATCATAAATTGTTTTTTATAAAAATAAACCGATATTGTTTTTGAAAAAAAGATTTTCATCATTTGTTTTGATAATTTACTAGGACTTTGATTCAGAAAATATTTACATCAAGTTTCTTATATTCTAATTCTTCAAAGATATGTGCCCATATTTTTTAAATATCATCATTTAATTATAAATTTACATAAAAAATATGATACAGGGACATGTGTGATTAAAAAATTGACGTAATGAATATAAAGAATTTAAATTAAGTATTTATTTTTCTTTTGATTCAAATAAGATTTTTCTTATAATCAAGTAGTATAAAATTATGAAAAGTCTTTAATAAATAAAAAGACTAAGATTCAATCCCATTTATAAGTTCAAGGTATTAATGTTTGCTCCCTACCCATGAAAAAGAACATGTTTTCTTTGGGGGGCTTCCCAGCAGCAAATTTATAAAATTTCCAGCCTCATCAGGCTTTAGTTAAATAATAGTATTAGTTTAGTATTTATGTTAGTCATGTCTTGAATTAGAAACTTTCACAAAATGTGACATCTATCCACATCCACATTGGTTATATTTCTTAATGCAAGAGGAATTGAAGGGCTATGAGTAATAAATTTTTAGTCCATTATAAGTTTAACATGATAGGACAGGATAATATGTGTTAAAGAAACTAGCTAGAAACAATTAGTATGTTATGTATGATGTATATGATTATCATTATGTGTGTGAAAAAAGTGTACATGTACATGAAGTGGATCAGAAAGGAAAGAGCAAAAAAGAGGGATCCACATGGACTTTTCTGTCAACAAATGAAATCCTATTTAACTTATCATTACACCAAATTAACTGATCTTTGCTCAACTTTGACATGCTCAGAACCCTTGAAATCAACTTCAACTGAACCTGAGCCATCATCTGCTCAACATCCAGCTCCACTTTATCCTCACTCTGCTTCTGCAGCTTCCTCACTATGCAATTCCCACTCCTAACTATGTCCTTCAGCCTCTTCTCCTTCTGTCATCAGCCAAAAACAAACAACACAGTCAACATTACATATGCATAGAACAAGAATCTGGATTTTAAGGTTGTAGGGTTGTTTTTCTTTGTTTTGTCAAACCTTGTGCAGGTGGGTTTGAATGTCTGTGAGAAGATGATAAGTGGCAGGGTCTTTGAGATGAGTTGGTTTGGTTTGGTGAGGAACTTTAAAGAAGGTGTTGGCATTAATCTCGTGCTTGTCGGCTCTGGCAAACTTGCAGAAGATGTAATGGATTCTCTGATGATTTCTGCTAACTTTTCGCTTGAAACAGTGTCTTCTTCATCCTTGGTCATCATGTTCTTGTCCTTCATGCTATCATCTGCACAATCAAAGCTCTCGTTTTAGAAATTAGAACCCAAATGGAAATGGATTTGTCCTAATACAGCTCAAGCTTAGCTTTGGGCCTAAATTCAGGCCCAAATTTTAATTTTAGTTTTTTAATCCACCTTTTTCAGAAGACAGGTAATGTGAGGCCCACAGAAACTGTAAATATGTGCGGTTAATAAAAGTAGTTTTAAAAAAATTATCAAAATTTAAAAGATAAAATAAATTAAAATCCTATATTTAGTATTAAAACAAGTCTCCTAACTAGTTATATTAGTATTAAAATAAATCTTCTAACTAGTTTCTAAATTTAAGACTAGATAAGGGGCAGTATTATATGTGGACCTGTTGATTGCGACCTTGTTTGGCATCACTTTTAAAATTACTTATTACTTATAAGCACATTTTATATAGATTGAGACAAAACTCTTTTCATATATTTATAATTGAAAAGTCACTTGTAAGTCATTTTAAACAGGCCCTACTTGTTATAATTTTTTTTTTTTTTGCTATCCCTTATTGTAATCATTAAAGTTTGCTCAATGGACAAATCATGACATAAATGTAATCATCATTAAAAAAAAAAGAAAGAAAAAGTCTGCCACTCATTTTTCCAAAAAGTAATTAAAAAACTACGCTTCAAATATTGAAAATTAAAATTAAAATTTGTTGAAAACCCACTCATTTTTTAAAAGGAAAGACTTAATTTTTAAAAAAAAATTATTAAATATTAAGAAACTTCAAAATTAAAAACTCCGCAATTTTTACTAACCTTGAATTGGAGGAACTTGGAGGAGGTTCCGAATGACACAACGGTTCCTTACATAATTGTGAATCCGGGGTCCTTGAAAAGGCTCATTCTCAATGAACCTCTGCATCAGAACTTGGAACAGTTGAAATTCTCCGGCCACCACATTGTACCGGCGAACGGATTCGCTGTCGTACTGTTTCAACTCTATCGCTTTCTTGTACTCCCAACACAGAACCTCCCACGACAAGCAAACCTGCCCCACATAAACCACCTCCAACTCCTCCACCAAACTCACCACTGCCTCCGACGACTTCTTCTTCTTCTTCTGATCTTGGCGTGACCATAATAAATTCTTCAAAATCATAGGCTTCGCACTTGGATCTTTCAATTGTCGTAGACCTGCACGTTGACCCCCAAAGTGAGTGCAAGAAGATCCACTTTTGATAAGGAATTTGGTTTCTTTGACACTTTCTCTTTAATTTCTTTCCTTGCGTTTTAATATTTAGAGTTCAAACCCAACTTGGTCAAAAGCTGAGGTTCCTTCCATAGAACTTTATTGGATACTTGTATTCTAGAAACCAGTGAAGTCGACACTGGTATTTTATTGGGAAAATCCCAAAAAAGGTCCTTGGAATATGGAAAATACCAGATTGGGTCCTTAAATTTCGAAAATGACAGAATGGGTCATTGACCCAATCTGTCATTTGTGAAATCAGGCGAATTGACAATTTTGCCCTCATTTATTCATTCATTACAATGATTCAAGGATCACTATAAGAGTTTAGGTGTTACTAGATTCGTATAGCGAATAACTATTCACTTTTTCATAGTCAGGTGTCTTGTTATTAACTACAACTAATGCTGTAATCACTAGAACAATGTAAGCATTACCTAGATTTGTGTAGAGAATAACTACTCATTTTTTCATAGTCAGGTATCTTATTAGCCAGGTACCTTATTATTAACTACAACGAATCTTGTAATCACTAGAACAGTGTAAGCGTTACCTAGATTTGTTTAGAGAATAACTACTCACTTTTGCTCAGGGGCAAAAATGTCAATTCGCCTGAATTTCACAAATAACAAATTGGGTCAATGACCCATTCTGTCATTTTCAAAATTTAAGGGCCCAATCTGGGATTTGGTATATTCCAAGGGCTTTTTCTGGGATTTTCCCTATTTTATTTTGTGTAAAAGTAAGCCCATGAGAAAAGGAAAAAAAGAAGAAAGATTGGCGGAACATGTGTTTTTAAAATATGAAAAATAAAAGGGAAAAAAGGAAGCTTCTGATATAGACTTGTCCCTGGTTATGAATAGATTTATGTGTACAGAACTAACAACTATGATGACTACAAAATTGGTAGATACCCACTTTGTATGTACCTCAAAAGACAACGTTTATGTTTCTTACATAATGATAACGTGTGAAAACTTGGAGAAATTTGAGAAAGTAGCATAAGACGAGGTTCCTGTTTCAAACACTTACTGTTCTCATCTTTGAAGAAGTTTTTCCAGAAAATAGAAAATACCAAAATATCTAACATATGTTGATCCAAGATGAAATAATAACCGAAAGTTTAACAAAGAAAGTAGTTTGGTTGTTACCTAGAGCATGCATGGTTTGGTAGTTCAAGATATCAAGCTTCCTCATCTTCTCTTCGTAGGTCTTGTGAACTTTCTGGATTTCTCTGATATGATCCTTGAATTCCAGTTTCTCTTCAATCCTCAGTGGCTTTAGATCTTGGGCCATTTTTGGGGACTCACTAACTTCTTGTCCTCCATCTTCTTCTTCGTCCTCTAAGATTGTAGGAAGCCCTCCTTGTCTCGCATTTCTCATTTCCAGTTTCATTTGTTGTACCAATTCATCATCATCCCATTCAAAATCATCCTGATCATCATCTTCTTCAGAGTCTAACTCACCCCATTTCTTCCCTTCATCCTTTGAAACTTCCTTTTCATCTTCATTTTCGGCTTTCCCAGGTGCTAATTCTATGAATTCATCTATGGCTCTTAGCTTTTGCATCAGCTTGAGGGTCTCAGGCTCCAATTCTCCAAGACCTTTTTGATATGCTAGAAAATCGTATGTGATTAAATCGTCAGTTTTGTCACTGTTGCCCCATATGAGACCACTTGAGCTTGACGATTCTGATTCTGAATCAGACTCGAATGAATTGTCATAGAAATCCAAATCATCTTCATCAGATGAATCTCTCCCTCGAAAGACGTCACTTTTCAAGCTAAATTGATCAGAACTGGAATGACCATGGAACATCCTCTGTTCTTGAATGGATCCCTCTTCTTCTTCTTCTTCTTCAAGAACATGGTCGTCTTCTGATTTGGTCTCAGAAATTCCTGCTTCCGAAACATTTGGACTTGCATGAACACTTGGAAAACTCTGCTCTTGGGCAGATTCTCTCTGTGATTCTTCTTGGAAACTGGTTGGTTTTCTGATTGAAGCTCTGAAATTTCTACTTCAGAGCCATCTGGGGATAGATGAAATTCTCCAAACCTCTGTTCTCCAGTAGATTTTTCATCCTCTGATTTGAGCTCTGAAATTTCTCTCTCCGCTTCTTCTTGAAAAACTGGTTCGTGCTTCGATTTGAGGTCTGAAATTTCCACTTGAGAGCCACCTGGAGAAGGATGAAATTCTCCAAAACTCTGTGCTCCGGCAGATTTTTTTTTCTCTGATTTGAGCTCTGAGATTTCAGTGTCGGAAACATATGGACCCACAAAAAATTCGCGAAAACTAAATGTCATAGCTGTTGTTGGTTCTTCTACGAACCCAATAATGCCCCTTCCTGACACGTATTCAAACTTATTAGTGATCAAAGCAGGTCTCTCTGTTTCTTCATCTTCTTCATCCCTCTCCATCTCTTCACCCTCCATTAAAGCAGACTTGCGTGTTTCGTCTCTGTCTTCCCCTCCGCCTCCTCCTCCTCCCCTTTTCTTACTATTTTCATGGTCAAAGTCATCCTCCATGGTAACAGAGCTCTCTGTCTTTTCTTCTACTCTTCTCATACTATTTTCATGAACCTCGGAGCTTCCCTCCATGAGAACAGATCTCTCTGCTACTTCTTCCTCGTTTTTCACACCACCATCATAAAATTCTGAGTTAGTTTTCGTGTTGGCATCCGATTCCTTTTCTCCCTCTTCATTCATGGAAGCAGGGATGTCTTCTTCTTCTTCTGCCTCCTCCTCCTCTCCTGTGCTTCTACTGTCTTCAAAATTATCCGAGTCTGTATTTTCTGAAACAGAACTCACTGTTCCTTCATCTCCACTTTCTTTTTCATTGAGGGCCTCCATTAGAGCAGAGCTGCCCATTTCTGTTTCTTCACCATCTGCGTTGACATATTCGTTACTCTGAAACAGAAATTGATCAGCTCGTCTCTGAACTCATCAATCCGAGAATCCTCAGGTTGATCGGAAAGCTCATTTTTCCCATCTGCCTTTGAACTCTGAAATCCAAAAAAGAAAACCAATAAGCTAAATAATTCATCAAGAACGTCAATAAAACCAGATCAGAAAACACATCAAACCTGGAAACAAACCGGAGAATCAACCCATACGAGTAAAGGACACAATTGCAGATGAAAACTCCAAGAGAAGTGACAGCCCAGAGCATGTTTCCAGGGACAAAATTATTAGCAAAACGTGCTTTGATGGAATCAAAGTGGGATATAAGCAGGGACAGGTTCTTGGAACCCATCAGTGATCAAAAGCCAATCAAATCAGATTCTGTTGGGTTCCCGAGAAAATTCTGAGCCAAGGGAATTAAAAGGTTGAAAGGAGAACATGGGGGAGGAAAATTAAGTTTGCATTCAAAAGAACATTCATTTCAATGGGGGAAGTGGAATTAGGCCACTTGCAGACAAGGAAATCTGTGAGTGCAAGAACTTGGCATAATTTCATGTTGGACCAAAAGGAGGGGCGAGATTGTGGGAGAAGATTGAGCGTGTATTTGTACATGCCCCAGAAAGCAACGTGCGGAGTTTTCCCTTTTTTCTTATTAAAGATGAAAAATGAAAGGAGGAAGGGAATTTACGGTACAAACCCGGTCTCACGGCCCGCTTGACACGTTTCACTTCTCGGGAGGCCGGGAGGTGAAATATCGAAGAAGAAATATCAAAATATCCTCGTAATCTCTCCGGAAGTTAAAAAACAACGAAATAACTGTTTGAAAATTTTATTCGTTAACCAAACTCAATGCAATTCATCTTCAAATGATACAATTTTTTGATACGTGAATACTACCTTCGGTTTTAAATATAAAAACTAGTTAACTAGTTTGAGTAGTTTAAATAAATAAGTTAAATTAATTATTTGTATTAAATAAGTATTGTCTTTTCTAAAATATTCTTACTAATCAAGTTTATAGGTTAGAACTACCATTATTAGAAAAACCATCTTAGAAAAAAATAGATAAATATGAGAGACAAAGTGGATTAGCATCTTATATTTATAACTAAAATAAAAATTAAACAAGATCTTATATTGAGAACCGAAGATAGTATTATATTCTTAACTAAATATAAATGTTGTCTAAATGAAAATCACGTGCACAAGGCTAAAATATCATGTTACACAAAAGCTGGAAAAAATTGTGCTCGTTGAAAATAAGTTGTATCCTCTTAAGTTTAACCAATGAAACCTTCAAACAATTACACCTAACCATTTTTTTCAAAAGAAATGCGTATAATATAATAAACACACGAGAAAGATGGGGAAAAGGAACAGAAAGTAAGCCATTCTATGCAAAATAAAATTATATGCTAATTTATTAGTGGATTAATTAAGTATGATGAAAAGATATAAGCATGATTCAGTAATGATAATGATGATATGCATACAATGAATTTCGGGTAATAAATTAGCTTTCTATTTTCATCCAGGTAAATTAAAATGGGGCCATGTGTTTGATTCTATGAGGATGCGTTTTTAATTATTTGAAAGGGCAACACTCGACTGAATTCATACAATTTTTGTATTTATTTTGAATTATTGTTTTCCCAACTCTGCCTAATTTCTTTTTTTTTCCCCTTCTTTTTGTTCATTGTTTGACCCACCATATTGTGTTTGGTCGAGTGGACAGGAATGGCACAAATGGGGACTACACCATTTAATTACTCGTTCTATAAGAGGCATTTAGAGAATATTTCAGGTCAAAAAAATTTAGAAATATCTCAAATTTTCTTTGTTAATTTCTCATTTGGTACTATTTAATTACCTGTATTAACATATTTTTTATCACACAACTTTCGAAGCATTTTCTCTACCAAATTTTTTTCTTCTGTTAGTGACAATCCTCTTTAGGGTACTATTGAATATTAAATTGTAGGTACATTTTTCAGTGACAAAAAAAATCAATTATTTTTGTACACCGCTGGGAAACATATTACTTATTTAGTCCTATTTATAAAATATTTTCAATATATTTCATATAAATAAAAAAATATTAAATTATATTAACTATCTATTAAACTATAACAACTTTCTAATATTATTCCTATTTAATATATACACCTTTAAAAAAACTATTTATACTACAATAAATATAGGATAAAATAGTACATTCATACTAAAAATTTAATAAAATAATTTATAACTATGATAAAAAAAATTTATCTGTCTCTCTTATAAACAGAACCAGTAGAGTATTTTCAAAAATATAGAACAAAAAATCATGGTTCTTTAATTTCCCTATACTGTACGTGGGCGGCGGGGGACCATATGAAGAGTAAAGATTTTGCCAAACTTGGGGGAAATTCATGCTTAACTTTTTAATTAAGCATGTGAGTGGTGTAGGCACAGAAACACATGCAACAGTGCAGAGAGGAAACACAACGAACTTCATAATCACTTTCCGTGAATTGTTAATAGAATAGTATATACCCCATATTCATTTGGGCGTTTTCCCAATTTTTTCACATAAGGAGATATACGTAAATATATAATATGAGGAATTTGTAAATAATATATCTCCGATCTTTAATATAAAACTTAATTGTTAAGTTAATTTTAATCTTAAATGTAAGATCTATTTCTCTTTTTTTTTAAAAAAATTATCTCTGTTGATACTCTTTCAATCGTAATTAAGTAAAAAAGGAGGAGAAATATTAAGAAAGATGATTATAGTATTTTAGAAAAAATGTGTGATATGTTATATAATTAACTAAATTGCTTAACTTTCTTAATTTAAATAAATTAGTTAAATAGGTATAATATTACAAACTAAAAAAATATTATGATTTGCTATAGAATGTACTATTATGTGTATTGGAAAAATGGAAGATGAGGAGCAAGTAGAGAAAGAAAAGGTGAGAGTGAGGTGAGTGACGAGGAATTAGAACTTGGAAAATGGCGTACCACCTAAACTGCAAAGTGCAACTAAACCAAGGCGATGTGATGTGATTGTTGTGAAGTGGTTTCAGAATTAGAATCACATTTTTGTCACTTGGAATAATACAAGAGAAAGGCACAGAATGATAATAAGGCTGCAAATGATTGCATTAATGACGCACACTCAAGTCCTCAATAATTTTTTTTTTTCAAAAAGAAAAGAATGACTTATAAATTAAATTGGAAAAATTAGCTAAAGGAATATGTTTGAGAAGTTTATTGATGCTAGTGCAACTCATTTTCAACTGCATGCACCACATCTTCAAACTGTACATAAATATCTTCCGTTTTTAAAAATTACACATAATTAATTAAAGATAAGTTGACATGGAAAAAACTAAAATTACAGAGTCCATTTGCCCGCACTTTTAACCAATTTTTCTCATTAAATTTGAGTCGGCCGACTGTAAATGTAAGAGTTTCGACAGATAAGACATTTATGATTACAACAGTCTAAATTGATATTTTTTTCTTTATTTTTTTAAATTATTTTTTCGGAAACCAAATTATCATTGATTAATTAATTAATTGACTCAATTATAACTCAAATGTCATTCTCTAATCTCCACACGAAAAGAAAGGCTTAAGAGTGAATCTAACAAAGGGAATGACACGGACGGTCGGTGCATGTCGGCTTCCGTCACGCCAAGCCTCTCTGGTCGGTTGTTTTCAATGGCGGCGTCACTCTCCGCCATTTTCTAATCACTTCATTGTCACTCATTTTACCTTATAAACACATGCCTTTTCATTCTTCTTGCGTCCCTAATCACGCCTCTCTGATTTTCTCCCCCTCTCTCTTTTAATGCAAAACGTATTTGGTGGTCCCAGTTTGGAAATTCTATGATTTTTTTAAACGTATTGGAACAAAATATGCTCCCTCTAATCTTAATTATAAACTTTAAATAACTAATTTGAGAATAATAAATAATTAGTTAAAAAGAATAAATATGTCACAAATACTACTCAGTCTCTTATTATAAAATCCTTTTAACTAAAATGCGCGGTTTAAGAAAAGAGTTAAAATTAGTTAAAAGCAATTAATATGTAGCAAATATAATTTTTTTCTAAACATACCGCTATATATAAATGGTAGATGTGAGAGAATAATAGTGACATAAATGAAGAAAGAGAATGCATTAAATACATTAAACTCGAGGTAAAATAGGTAATAATACATCAAATGTTCAGACAAATTCAAAATAAATATTATAAAAAGGGACAAATCTATTCAAACAATTAGATTTTACAATAAAAGACGGAAGAAGTATATTTTTATTTTGAAATATGCACTTATAATAAATGAGAAAAAGGATAAAAAAATTGTGAAAAAATGTAATAAAAATATTTTGACGAGGAGAGAGAATAAATAATTAAGAGCAAAATTAAAAATATGCATTAAATGTTAAGACAAACACCAAATAAAAACTTAGAAAATGGACTGTATTTTTTTAAAAATTTAAAACCTATAAATAGGATCTGAAAGAGTATTAGTTTCCGATCATCCTGCCTATCACCCTCCACCCTTTCTAATCACTTGATTATCATCTCTAATTTTCACCTTAAAACCGTGTTTCTTGCTGCTAATCACGCCCCCGATTTTTTTCCTCTTCCATGTGAAACGGATTTAGTTGTTAGCACCTTGATTCCCCCCCCCCACGTGTTCAGTGTTCACTATAGCTTTTATACACACACCCTCTCTTTCTCATCTTTATTACAAGTACATAATGACAATTTTATATAAATTAACGAAATTAGTTAAAATTATGTGTTAATTAATCCGTAAGTCCTTATATTTTCAATGAATTTTGAATTAGGTCCCTATAGTTTTTTTTCTTTTTATCAGGTCCTTATACTTTTACCTTTTTTAATTAGGTCCTTGTATTTATTTTTCTTTTAATTAAGTCCTT